CGGACATTTAGGGTTTAGGTTTAGGTTTTCTGGCTTGAAAAGCTTTAGATGGCACCTTGTGCTTGTTCGGAACCTCTTCCCTTGAAGGATCTTCAGCTTTCTGGAATACATGTTGAAGCTCGTAAGTTGCGTGCATCAGAGATATTCGAACATTCTTTTCACACATTTGCAGAAAGAGCCTGGCCCACCCTCTACCCCCACCACCACCAGCAGCACCAATACGAATACATTTGCCCTTACTTCACCCGACCCGCGCAGCAAATATCGGGTTTAGGCTTCGCGGTGCGAGGTCAGCACTTCCATCTCTAAATCAGCGACCGACGTGGTGCCAAAGGCTACGGTGGCAAGGTAGCATCGAAAGACCAGCCGGGCAAAGGCAAGGGCAAGCCCCCTACTAGAACCGAAGGAAAGATTGTTCTTCGGCACTTGATGAAGATGAACTTGGCTTTCAACCTGAAGGATCCCAAACTGGACTGTAATTCTCGCTTACCGATCTGAAGATGGAGTTCATCACTTTTCATCTGGCGTTGTTGGAAGATCTGACATATCTTCAGTTGCAACAGGTCCTCCCGTACGTCCGTGCCTCAAGCCCATTGCCCGCACTGTCCTACAGCGACGACAATGCGATGTCCCTCAACCCTGCTGCCCAATTCGAATCCTTGCAGGTCTTTTCGTATGACGGACACCTACAACTACCGACCTCTTCGTTGAAGCTGCACATGGCACTGCACATTGGGTTCAAACCAAAATTCGAACCCCTAACCCCATAACAGCCTTGACCCTGAACCGCGGTAAGCCCTATACACCTTACACTGTGAATCCGCAGACTTTCAGTTCATTTGCAGCAAAACGATCTTCTCTAACCCGTTTTTTCCGAACTCTAGATTGCGGAGCCTGCTTAAGCTTCGAAAGCACTGATTGTAAGGTTAAGGGCTTTCAGTGTTGTGGTTCATTCAATTCAAGCTTGGCTTCACGTCCTGCGAACTGAACTCCGATCGCAACCATAAACTCCCAAATCCAGAAACTCTAAACCCCTAAATCCATAAACGCTCCCGAAAGCCTCAATCCACTACATCTTTAGCCCGAACCCGGATCCCTAAACCCTTCCTACAGTCTCCATTGTAGTTCCTTGTTTTGGCTATCCCTAAAGCCCTAAACCCTAAAACCCTGAAACCTACACTTTAAATCCGCAGCTACAAAACCCAAAAATCCCCTACTGTAGCTCGAGCGCGATTGGAGTCCCAGGCCCGGACATCGCGCGACATTTTCAACTCCGGCGACTGGTGTACGCCAGGGCCCTGGGAGGAGTGGAGAGCATCTTGGAGTTCGCAGTTTTTGGGGTTTAGGGCTGAGAGGGTTTATAGAGTTTAGGGTTTATAGGGCTTAGAGTTTAAGGTCTATAGGGTTTAGGGTATATAGCGTTCAGGGTTTAGGCTCTGGGGTGTAGGGCTTGGAGCATCTTTCCGGCACAGCTGAGCATCTGTGCTAGGATGGCGCACCTCACGCCTGGACATCTTGAGTCAAGCGATGTTGCTTGCGCATTGTGACTGAGACGAGACCAGAAGCAACCACACACACCATCTCCTGGTACCCTAAACCCTAAACCCCAAACCCTAAAGGTTTAGTGCGCAGGGCTTTGGATTACGAGGTTTCCAGGCCAAGGGTTTGGATGAGGGTCTAGGTTTTGGAATGTGAGGTTATTGGGGATGATGACGACGATAGGATGATGGTGACAAGATGATGCAAGGGTGCAATCGCGGACACTGCTGACTGCTGCAGCTTTCATTGAGATATCCGAGTGATGGTGTCTATGGAAGCATAGTCGGGGTTGCAAGGGTTAAGGATGAGCTTTGCGTCATACATCCGGCCAGGTTCTCGAAGTCATCAGTTTGGACCTTAACAATCCCTCGGACTGATCAAGCACCCAAGCTGGAGAACGTAACGTCTTGAACTTCTCAGGCTGTGATTGGGATATGGTACAAGCCGGTGCAGCCAGCACATAGCATCGCTCTGGATATGGTGACGATCACCTAAGCCGTACAAACCCTTTGGAGGCAAGAAGGCTACCCAGAATCCAAATCCCTTCAAACTAGCTAGTTACCATACAAATAATAATAACAATAATACCACTAGTTATAATAAGCATAATCATATTCATAAGTACTAGCGATATTAATATTGAGAATAAACAATAAGAAAGGGTTTCGTAGTTCAGGGTTCGGGTTTGAATTCAGCCTAGGGCTCCAAGACCGCAGCAGCACTGACGACATGAGACGATATGCAGCTGTTACCCTAAGGCTCCAAGTACCTAATAATCATATACTCTCCCAAATACTAACCTAGACAACTACTATCCGCAGCCAAAGTACCTTATTATTGGGTCCTTTGGACCCTTAGGGTTAAGTTCTGATCTGACCTTTCGAACCCTAGCTCCTAAGCCCTAAACCCCACGGAGCGGATTCCGGTCCAAGGCCAGACTACCTCTTCGATACGTACCAAAACTTCGAGGCCTGAGTCTGGGCAACCAAAGTCAGGGGGCTTTGCTAGTTAAAATGGGGCTTTAGAGCGTTCAGGGTTTACCTATAGTCTCCATTGTGGTTCCTGCTTTTGGCTTAACCCATTTTCTATTTTGGATCTTCATAAAGTAATCCCTAGAAAGGAACTACAATGCAGACTATAGGTAGGGTTGAGGCTGTTGTATAGTATGCTAGAGTATACTGTAGTATTTTTTCGTATGGTATCGGAAAGTACAGTACCGTGCAGCGCAGCACAGTACACTAGTATAGGTGCATATGAGGATACTCCTACTCGTGGGCTGCGAACGATGTCAGGCCTTGATGCAGGTTAGAGTTTTCTGGCTAAAGGTTTGGGGTACCCTAGGTAGGTAACTATGTCGTGGGTCAGTGGGTTACAAATATATGGTTATCAACCTACTATCTAAGCAACTGCAGCTCTAGGGATAGGCAGCGGATAGTCACGGCCTCAAAGAACTTGCCCTCTGGTAACGTTGGACATGTAGGCAAAAAGCCAGATCACAGAAGCAAAACCAAGCGATTCGGTCTTCGGGTTCAGGGTTTTGGGGTTCAAGGTTTAAGGGTGTAGGGGTTGGGGCCCAAAGCCCGCAACTTCAGACGCCAAGATTTGCTCTTCAACACCCAAGCCCTTGCAAGCTGGTCTGTTTGAGCCTTACGGAACCACGGTTCACGGCCCCACATGCCAGGCTCTGGACCCCACTGGCATGAATTCTGAGGCATATTGGTCCTTATCGCTCCAAAACCTGGTTGGAACTGAAGCAGCACACCTGATAACCGCAACAACACCAGACGAAAGCACCTCTCCTTGAAGGTTTTCAAGGTCCGATTTTGCAAAAGAGCCTGAGTAGTTCGTGTTTGTTCTAGTGCGTACCTAGGGTTTAGGGTTTAAGGGTTTAGTGTTTACGGGTTTTGTGTATGTTCTAAACAGCGACTATTCTTGAGAACCCTTGACCATGTATCTAGGCTTGCAGCTTCTTCTCCATAGCTTGGTTGCTAATTAGCTTTTTCTTATCAAGCACAGGAGGTGGGTTTCTTCATCAATGGTTCAGAGTAGTCTGGGATGCAAGGCTGTCAACAGCTTAAGTTTGGTAGCAGGTTGGTATCGAGGCTTTTCTGGGCTTCAGGGTGTATATACGGGTCTCGAGTTTATCTTGTAAAGCAAGATATGGGTATCGAAATTAGGTCCCTTTCCAAGGCTCCAGTATAGTACGGCACCCTTATAAACAAATACCCCCAAAAGGTCCCCAAATTTAGAGAACCGCCCATATAGAACCCTTATAGCGCCCCTATTGAAATCCATATACCTGTAGAATCCCTTAGAGAATCCCTTTAAGGAACCCCCCACTGGGGACCCTAATTTAGAGAACTACCGGTACAGCTTCAGCTCAGGGCTTCTTGAACCAACTTGTGCATCAGAAGTCACTGCTGAATGGGTTAGCTGTCTCTAAGTTAGGGTCCCTTCTAGGGTCCCTTCTCTTGCAAGGATTTCCGAAAAACGGGGACCCTACTCTAGAGAACTGCCCGAATGGCTGCAGGTTCTATCAGAGAAGTGCCTCATTGAGAGGCCATCGCCTGGATGACTTCTGCTCAGGGTCCTTTCCGCCAAGTCTCGATTGCAAACCCTCCAGGACCGCCTTGTACCCTCAAATAGGGGTATATGGTCCCAAATTGAGGGTATTTAGGGTCTAGTAGAGGGCAGATGGAGGCTCTAGGCTACACCCCCCAAACTGTGAACTCCGAATCTGCCCCCAACCTGAAGCCATAAACCGTTTAGAGGCTCGGCATTGATGCCTTCCAGTGACGGGATTCGGGGATGGTTGCAAACCCCAAACCCAAAACCCTAAACCCCTAAACCCCGAAACCCCTAAACCCTAAACGAAAACCCTACCCCCCCTAAACCCCTAGACCCCTAAACCCCAAACAACCCTAGCCCAAACGATTCGGAGCTGTAGACCCCCCAGAAAGCCGAAATCCAGAGCCCTAACCCCTAAACCCCTCTAAACGCCTATAAACCTATAAACCCCTAACCCCTAAATCCGAAATGCAGAGCACCTCTGTGAACCAAACACATGAAAGCACCTCCTTTCTTTGGGTTCAGGTCTCCGTAAGTCGACCTGGAGATGCCAAAAACCTATATAATATACTGCTTTTAGGGGGTTTTACTTTAAAAATGTTAGGGGTCATAAGCTACTATTTTGTAGGGTTTGGGGATATAGGTCAAGCCTAACACCATCTAGTCAGAATCTAGTCATATACTTCAGGGCTTGGGTGCGTAAGAGTTCTCCAGGGTCGTCGGGAGCTGGCAGCACTCTCTCGCCACAAACTCCGAGCTTCGTTCTAAAAATGGTGTCCCTTGTGCCACTTCAGTGTTTAGCAGACTTTATTACAAGACACGAAATGGCAAATCTTTAATTAGTTGGAGCAGCCCCATGTGGCAGGCCGAACAGCTGCCACTTCTCGATCATCATGGGGAAGCTCGTTCCCTACGCGTATTGGGCCCGCGCCTCTCTCCGGGTTCATACAAGCCGGGCAGCTGCAAACCTTGGGAGACGGTTTAGGGTTTAGGGTTTAGGGCATGAACCCGAAACTCCTCGGGGGGCCAGCCTTGGTGCGCCAAAACAAGGCTAGAATAATTAGCAGGAGCATCCCTTTTGGTCCCTGTCCTGCATAACTTCACGATAATGGACCCACCCCCAGAGCCATTCTGATGTTCAAGGCCCGTATATCAAAATGACCCTAAATCTAGACTTCGAGAAATAGACCCTTGACATCCTCAGCAGCTACGAACTCTGCAGCCTTATCGTTCCAAGCACATACGAAGTGGTTCCAATAGACTCTCCAACGAACCTCGTTTTTGGTGAGCCAATGGTAGGGATAGGACATGATAGGACCTTATAATATTTATAACTTATAATATTAGAATAATATATAGAGACACCAGATATGCAACATCATAGCCACATTGGGCAAAGCTGGGTGCGCGCCTTACGTGTGACCCAAGGTGACGTACACACTCTTCGTGTCGATCATGGTGATGAACCTCGTGATAGCGGTGATTTTGGAGAGCTACGAGGTCGATCTCCGGGTGTTTAGGGTTTAGGGTTTTAGGGTTTAGGGGTTTAGGGTTCAGGGTTCAGGGTTTAGGGTTTAGGGGTTTAGGGTTTAGGGTTCAGGGTTTACGGTTTAGGTCCATGTAGCTCTTTGGTCTTAGAGCACATACATAGAGCCCCTTCCTGGGTATATGATATTGTTCAACTAGGTACAGTCTATCGTGAAGCTTCAGGGTTTTGAAGTGTCGCGCTAAGGGAGAACTCGAACTGCCAAGCCTGTCGTAAATTTCGACGAGCCTGGTGATGATACTGGCGACACTTAGCTATGCATGCCTACCCCAGGGCCTTTTACACGCAAGCCAGTATCCGAAGTCGCCTTTCCTGTTACTAACGAGTCTTTCTTCCACGGAGGGATCCTTTGTATGATGTAAGCGTATAAGTCGTCATTGAAGGGTGGTGGGCTCGCTGTCAGGGTGGCGGTGGATTTCGGGGCTTAGGGCCTGAAATTTAGGGTTTGGGATCTCGGACTCGGAGGGTTTAGGGTTTAGGACCCTCATTCATACACCTTCCTTGGCCGGGACTACAAAATGCGTTCTACCAGCATGGCCCTCCAACAAAGGGGAGATGTGTATCAGGAGTCTGCTGTGGCCATAGTTGGGTTGTGGGCTGCCTTCTATATATTGATTCCATCTAGGGGCTGCAACACGAAGCATGATATAGGGGCCTTCATTCACAATTAGAATAGGGGCCTCAATACTTAGAATAGGGGCCTTAATAATTAGAATGTAGGGGCCTCCATAATTAGAATATAGGGGCCTTCAGAATTAGAATGCGGGCTCTGTGGGTCACAGGGGGTCGACAACCCGGGTGCTGTCAGATGGAGAGAAGAGCTAAGATCCCAAAGCCCTCAACTCCGAAATTACTTCGACCCTCGGGGTTCCGGCATAGGGTTCCTTTACGGGCATTGGGGTTCCTTTCTGGGCATAGACAGGGTTTTGGGGGGTTTAGGGTCTAGGGTTTAGGGGTTTACGGTTTATAGGGGTGAGGGTTTAGGGTTTAGGGGTTTAGGGTTTAGGGTTTAGGGTCCCAGATCCTAAAAGTCCTACACCTCTGTCTTACACCCCTGCAAATGGGGCTTGGGGCTCAAGGGCAACGGTTTACGGCTTGGGGTCGAAGGCCCAGATTAGGGTTTTATTAGGGTTTTATTCGGGTTTCAAGCGTATTCTCAATTCAAGCTTTGATGGGGCTTTGCGTAAGGTCATCAGGGTTTGGTAGGACTTTCTAGTGTTGTATCGGGTTGAGACTCAATAAGTAGGTGATAACCGGGAATATAGCTAGCTACCTTCAATGGGCTATCCCCGATTAACAACCCCATTTCCCCTCCCAAGTATCATAGCAGGTATCCTGGTATCATTTCTCAAATCCTAGAAGCTGGAACACAAGAGAGTCGTGCTGCCTTTCTGCTTGCCTTATGCCACCCCCAACTCTGCCAGACCAAGGGCTACACTTCCCCGAAGACTCCGTGTATAAACTTAGTCCTTACCTTGGGGTCCAATATAGTACTTACTTTGGGTTTAGTTGGGTTCAGGATTTAGGGTTTAGGGAATAGTACTTACTTAGGGTCTAGGGCTTGGGGTCCAAAGTCTAGAGACACTACCTGCTACCTCTTCTGGGCTGTTTGGAGTCTGGGATTCGAGGATACCCAACTTCAACCAATGAGTGCAAAATTGCCCGTCGGTGCTACCGATAGAGTGGGCGGCTCAGTTTCTGGACGTTGCGCTCCTGAACCTTGTCTTCAAAAGGATGAGTGATGTGCTGAATTATTCGGACCGGTACTCCTTGTCTTCAAAAGGATGACTGATCTGGTGAATTATTCAGACCAGTACTCATATGGGCAACCGGGCTGCGTACCGACATCAGCTAGAATGGATGCCACATGCCTACCGCCAGTGACTACAGAAAGCCGAGCCTTCTGGTGCGCACATCACAGCTGCGGACCAGCACTGGACGCTTCTCCGGTCCTATTGCTTGATGGATAATGCCTTTTTGTGCGTAATATGGCCAGAACGGAACCTCGTGGTCCTCAATATCAGAAACCACGGGCAATCTGGTACTTCAGGCCATGCTGGGATCAGGCATGGCTTGCGCTAAGGCCCAAACCGAGACCCTAAACCCTAAACTGGATGTATATTGGATGCGGATCTGGGGATAGGGTTTAGGATCCAGGGTTTAAGGTTCAGGGCTGATGGAGACATGCAGTAGCCGACTGTACTCCAACGGTCCACGGGTGTCTGGACCCTACATGTCACCGTGGGGATCTTGGATAGTGCCCAGTCGGTTGAGGGTCCGAAACGCGACCCTAAAACCCTATAACCCTAAACCCTAAAACCCTAAACTTAAACCCTAAAACCCTAAACACTAAACCCTAAACCCTAAGCCCTAAAACCCTAAACCCTAAAACCCTAAACCCTAAAACCCTAAACCCTAAACTCAGCCACTTGCACAGGAGGGTAAGGGCGAGAAGGAAACGGAGATCCTGGAGTACTGCTTGAAGGTGGGAGAGCGGTGTAGGTATAGGGTTTAATTAGGGTGAAGGCGGGAGAACATTTCCCCGAGCCCATCGACATAGAGAGCAGGCAGATCAAGTTATAAGATGGCTCTGAGTCCAGAAAACCCATAGACCAAGGACGTCTCCTTTTCCGGCGTACCCTACTATAGTGCCTTCTTTGGGTTACCTTGTAGGTTTCTGTTCATAGGGTCCTAACCATAAATTAAGTTACCAAAGAGCCTACTTCATCCTACTGTAGGGTCTAGGTAGGGTTTTGCAGTTGCAGAGGGTCTGAGGGCGTCTCTCATGTCGCAGGTTTTGCATGGGTCGGTCTGAAGAGCTATGACTATGTTTGCATCGTACGCAAATTACGATCGCTGGACTTTGAGTCTGGGAAACTATGTTCTGGGCTCCCTGAAAAACTCCATACCCTGTTAGGTTTGGCTTTTCCCGATGTTGTCCGCCAGCAGCGGACAGACTTTGAGCCACCCCCACCTAGGCTCAAACTCTCCGGGCCCTAATACAGGAGCCAGATAGCCAAAAAAGGAGCATGCATGCATCTTCAAAACTTACAATCAGCCCACCCCAAAGCCACCAACCCTAAACGCTAAATCGGCTGTGATGCTTCATCCTGCACTCTGATCCGATGCCGGAGGCAACTACAAGTACATGGACTCTATAAAACCCTACAGTCAATTGAAGCGCATAAATCCCTGAGTCCTTAAAAAACCCTCTATGTATGTACTCTGCAAGTACACCCTAGACCCCAATACCCTGCACTACGACCTGTAGAGGTACCCTTGAAGGACAAAGCATATACCAGACATGTACTTGCGGTACATGATCCGTATGCAATGCCTTCAAAGCCCACATCTGTTCCTACATAAACCAAAGTCTGTAAAAGCCTACCAAACCCTCTCAGACTACATCCAAAACCCTGCACTCCGACCCGAAACCCTAAACCCCTCAGTTGTGGAAAGAGCGCGATCCAGATCTGACGTTGCCGTGGCCTCGGATAGGGACGGCTTGAGGCGGTGTAGAGTTGAGGGGTTCATGGTTACAAGGTTTAGGGGCTAGAGGTTTAGAGAGAAGGGGGTTTAGAGGATGAGGGACCAGGGAGAAGGGTTTGGGTTTCAACAGTGAGGGTTTAGGATTATGCAGGCTGTCTCGGAAATCCGGCGGAGCCCTATAGCTGTTCACTTCCCAGTCGACTCCTGGAATCATACTGTCATAGAACTTCGAGAAATCAAGACCCTGGGTCCTAGACCTCTGCAAAGAGCCAGCACCAGGAACCCTCAGCCCTGAACCCTGATTGAGTCAAGACCACGTTTCTTCTGTCGAGGCGACTGCCGATGGCTGAAGCCGTGGTTTACGTGACCGATGTCGGGGCCTCAGAGTGCTAGAAGATGAGAAGGTTATGGACTCTGGGCTCAGAGCCTTATGGGTTTACCGTTCGGGATGGAGGGGTTTAGGGTTTTGAGGGTTTGGGGTTTAGGGTTAGACGTCAAGATGGAGGCCTGATTGTTTAGGAATTGCATGCCTCTTCCCTTCTATATTACTATTCCTTTCTTATACTGCAATAAACCCCAGAATCTTATTCCGGTATTTCTTTTTGGCTAGCAAGATCTTCAGAAACTCAAGAGCCAATAGAACATCGGTCTTTAGACCTCGAGGGTGCGAGGGGATGTTAGGGATGGGCTTTAGGGTTTAGGTTTAGGGTTTAGGGTTTAAAGTTGCTAAAGGTGCAGGGTTCTCGGCTTGCAACTCTCATTGCCTCTTCCGATACATCAGCCCGGCCTGAAGTTACTCATACTGACGCAGCCCCCGCCCTAAGGGTGCATGTGCCTAGATAGGGTTGGTGATATAAATCCTGCATTACCAATTAAGGATGCTAAACTATGGGAATTATGGTATATTCCTTATTATGGGTAATGCAGGATTTATATCATCAACCGTATGCTTGGGCTTTACAGAGGAACAAACGTCCATCCGGATTTGGGAGTAGAGGATACGGAGATGTCCATGTCACTTGGCTAGGGCAGAGGAGCCTTTTTCAGGATCTTGTGCTACGGTTGATAATATAAATCCTGCACTACGCATAGTAAGGAATATACCATATTTCCAATATAGTTTAGGGTCCTTAAGGCAATGCAGGATTTATATCATCAACAGTATGTTCAGAAACAGACTTGAACTCAAGTCTGTTGGAGCTTCTGAGCACTAAACCCTAAACCCTAAACCCCCCTAAACCCTAAACCCAAAACCCTAAACCGTATATCTCTGCGGGGAGTTGCCCGCAGAGGGAACCTGGAGCTTGGCAGCAAAGAGGCCAAATTCCCCGGAAGCAACACCGCAAGGCCTGAAACACCTGCCCCGAACTCCTGCATACTATACATTCCGAGTCTATTCCCGAAGGGTCCATGTACATAACTATGTCGTGTATACTTTTGGCCTTAGATTTCCGATATAGGACTCTCGTTTAGGAGAAGGTACGCACTACATGACCCTCAGCGCCTGAGTAACTTCCGGCAGCTTATCAGAGCCGCCACTTGCGAAGAGTCGTGGTTCAACTCTTCACCACCTGCACTTCATTTATGTCCAACTCTCCTGTGGTATAGTTCTGGTGTTAAATCCCGACGCACGCAGAATCGCTGCCAGGAAGACGTTGCATCCTCACACCCCCCCTCACCTTAACATGCTAGACCCTAACCCTGGAGCTCCAAATAGCCCAAAGTAGGTACTATTTACAGACTTTAGACCCCAAAGTAGGTATTATTTGTATACTTGGAGCCCCAGGGTTCCTTTAAGGGAACTAGTTACTTTGGGGTCTAAAGTCTGTAAATAGTACCTACTTTGGGCTCTTTGGAGCCCCAGGGTAAAGCCCTAGAGCTTTAAAGCCCTACCCTATAAGGGTCCAAAAGACCCAATAATAAGGTATTTGTATACTTGGAGCTCCAGGGGTAAAGGCACTGCAAGTCTTCGCTGCAGGCTGTGAAGTTCGGCTTGGAGCTGCAGAGCCGGCAGGGCGAAGACGTCCACGCCAGGACAGGGATCGTTATATCATTTATAACTATACTTTTCATATACATCCCCCAGGACAGGGGTCGTTATATCATTTAACTTTATACTATTCATATACACCCACCCAGAGCTCCATTCCAACAAGGACCTTCCTTGAAGTTTTTTCAACTGCAGTCTGCAAGGTGATGAATGTTTTAGATTCAATGGAGTACCGTTCGGGCTGAGAGGTCCCATTTTATAGGGTTTTGGAGTTTAAGGCTTTAGCCTGAAGCCCCAAACCCCAGGACCCCGAGCACCTAAACCATAGATCCTGAACCAACAAACCTATCCCAAGCCACCCGAAACCCAACAGGGCTTGTTACTGTAGCTGAGCGTTCGGCAGCTGATAAGAAGGAAAGGCTGCCCAAGGGTTAAAGCCTGTAAGCCCTCAAGCACTAAACCGTAATGAACCCTAAACCCGACAAGCCCTAAACCCTATAAGCCCTAACCCTGAACCCTACAGCTCCACAGCCTCCTCAGGCAGGTGGGACCTTTTGAGCTGAACTTGAGGCTCTTGTGGCCTCTACTACTCCTGGAAACCCCACAAGGCCCAAAACGACAGCGCATCCCCAAGTTTAGGGTTTAGGGTTTATGGGGTTTAGGGTTTATGGGGTTTAGGGTTTAGGGTTAGAGTGCATCTCCTTAGGATTTAGAGGGCCTTATATACTGAAACCCTTACACTCATTCTTCAACGTTAGAAACCCATAAAAACTTGTAAACCAAGAAGACCTGAAGCCTGAAGCCCTGAACCATCAACAAATCCTAGAACTGTAGCCCTACACCTCTGCATCCCTACAACCATAAATCCACAAAACACATGTGCCCTAACGCCGCAAACCCTAAACCCCTGTAGTACCCTTACGTAAAGGAACCCGTATTAAACTCTGAAAGCCCTCAACCCCTGCGCCCCGCGGCCTTTCTTTCGAAGGAAAGCGGCCGCAGTGCCCAAGTTCGGCTCTGCCATGACGCGGACTGAGAAAGGGCTCATAGTGGGGGCTTAGGTTTAAGAGTTTAGGATTTACGGTTTTGGATGTAGAGTTCAGGGATTAGGGTTTAGAGTTTAGGGTTTGAGGGTTTAGGGTCTAGGATGCAGGGTTTAGGGTCTAGGACATAGGGCTCGAGGTATTGAATCTAGCAAACCTGAAAATCCTAGACCCGAGACTGCCAAGTTCTGCCGCGAAGTCCGCTTCTCGCTGCACTACTGTTGATGATATAAATCCTGCATTACCTTAAGGACCCAAAACTGTGGAAATTATGGTATCTTCCTTATGGATGGGTAATGCAGGATGTATATCATCAACCGTATCCCTACCCAAAAAGGGTGGGGAAGCCCCCACTCGAAGCCCCAAATGCTATCCACCCAACATCACTGTAGCCTCCTTAGTTACCCCCGACGTCAGGGCCGAAAGGTCCGAGTAATTCTAGACCCCAGACCCTGCAGCCGCAACTCCGTGAACCCGACAACCCCCCAAAAATTCGCCGGAACCCCACGAGCTCAGGATCACGCAAGTTCCGATGAAGTTCATCCGCCCCATGGACCTGCCAGTGGATGCAGCCGGGGAGGTGGGTGAAACAGAATGTAGGGGCCTTAATAATTAGAAAAGGGTTTGGGGGTCCTTTGTAGCATAATTTTAGTAAGGAACCCCCAAAATAATATAGGTAATTATTGAGTCCCCTATATTAGCTGCTGTGTTTGCTTTTGGCAGCTCGCATTGTGCGGCCACCGTCGGCCCAGAAGCTGGAATGTATCGTGTGTGCCTGATCTACTACAGGAGCCTTAATAATTAGAATAGGGTTTTGGGGGTTCCTTACTATAACTATAGTATAATGGGCCCCAAAACCCTGTTCTAATTATTAAGGCCCCTATAATACCCATCTAGGTGCACATCTCTCCACTTTGCAGATATGCATGTAGCATGTATTCATGTGCTTGTATGGTGCTGCCTGGAGCTGAGCCCCTCAAGCCAAGGACGCTTAATTACTATAGCTGGAACCATCTTCCCTCATTATATCCCTAGGGCTCCAAGTATACAAATGTACCTACTTTGGGGTCTAAAGTCTGTAAATATAGTACCTACTTTGGGCTATTTCGAGCCTCAGGGTATTCACCCGAAGCCCTAAGCCCCTCGACGGCACAGCTCATCGTAAAGAGCTGGTCCGCCCTGAATCACACACCTTCGATTCAGGGTTTAGGCTTTAATTAGGGTCGAAGGTTAGTTTCCCGAGAGCTGAATGAACAAAAACATGAAGGCAAAAGCTGTCAAACTCTTCTAAGCCCAGACACTTCGCAGGTCTCGTTTCTTTCAGCTCTTCTACAGGCCAGCATGGTTTGGGATTCTCACGGATCGGAGTGGAGTTGCGTTTTTGTTCGTTACATGCCGGCTTCGTTTAGCGCTGAGCGTTTGTTTTTCAGCTTCCAAGCTGAGGTTTTCAAAGTGAGGGTCGGCGAACCAGTAGCGAGGGTCGTGGGGTTTCCTGGCCTTCGTTTTTTTGAAACTTTGAGGGTGATAGGTTCATGCAGATCGCTGCGGATGTAGGCTCAAGACTGGGCAGCCGGAAACCTTTACCATACGGGTACTTCTCTAAAGTAGGGTCCCTTTTTAGGATCCTTTTTTAGAAGGGTGCCGTATTATATTGGGGACCCAAAAAGGGGCCCTAATTTAGAGAACTACCCATACATCTGTCCAATCAGGGAAGGGAATGCAGCTCGTCATGCTCAATACCCACTAGGAGCCCAACAGGAATCTGGCCTTGCAACATCCTACAATGTCATCGTCATAATATGCAGGACCCAAGCAATCGTAAGGTGACCATCAGCAAGGGTTGTCATTAAGGCCCTACAGGCCCGTGGCCAAGCGCCTGCTAAGACCGCAGTGCCGGTGCCTGGCGAGGCTTGGGGGTGTGGTTGGAGACACCTTCGCGCATTTGGCCACCCTCGCTGATGGTGGCATAACCACCATGTCTTCGGGAGACAACACAGGCATTCAGCCTCCCCTCACCCTCCCGGGATCACTGACGGTCAGCCATGGGACGAACGTGATCAATTTCGCAGGAACTGCTTGGAACCAGGCGCCAGCCGCAAATTCATGGGTGGCTCGCAATCAAGGAAAAGGAGTCCTCCCTGCAGTGATGGGAGATGCCCAGCTGGTCGCAGCGACCGCCACCCGTGGTTGTTTGTCACGCAGGTCCAATTGGGGAATGCCTGTGTGATCCCGCCTTTCTAAGTGTCGTGGGTCACAGATGCAGGATGGTTCGGAAACGGGGTTGCAGCACCTCCGTTGAACATTGCGACTGGGGCCGTAGTGTTGGGTCTAGATGATTCTGGAGATATTCAGGTGGCTTACGACGAGTTCATGAACAAAAGGAGTGACATCTTCACGGCCATGGGCTTGTGCCTTGCTCACGCTTCATTTTGGCCAAACAAAACTATGTTGAAAGTTGAAAGCGGATGGGCCACGCAAAAACACTTCATTGGTTGGGCATCCGCAGATACTGGAGTTTGGAGCCCAGTAAGGTGCGAGAAGGTGTCCTAGCATTGCACGGGTAAGCATTCGGCAAAGACGTTGCTTTTTCAAGACTTCCCTTCTGCGCATCCGCTGGTCTAGAGATCTTATCGCATTTCCAGGCTCTTTCAGCCGTAGACCCTGCAGCCCTTCAGCTCCAGTTTAAAACCTGGGAATGAGCCCTTGAGGCCAGCAGCAAAGCATCCCAACATCAAAAATCCCAAAACCCCACATCCGAGCACCCGATAGCCAATCCCCAATCGTAAATCCCAGAGCACTGAACAAAACTCCCCCAATCCGAAACCCGTTATACGTCAAATATGAATGTAGACGAGTAGTCGCATCTTCATACATCCTTATGAATTATGGAGACCCTTATGTAAGGACTTCTCCTAGTTCCTGTAGCTAACGGTCTTTGGGCGAAGGTTTTGAAGCTCCTCTGCCACAAATGGGACCCGGATCTCATGGTGGAGATCGATGATGTGGAGGTCCATGTTGAGCATAACATTGAACAAGGCTGTTAGGATCTTAGGGCTTTAAAGGATTCCTGGGGCCTTTTGCTGTTTTTGTGTCAACGGGTGTTAACCCTACTCCCTGTGAGTTGTCAGTGCAAGGTGGCCACGAAGCTTCGTCGTGGCTTGAGATACCCCTAAGGAACAGCAACTAAGTCGGTTCCTAGAACGTAGAACTTCTTTAACGTCAATCGTATATGCTACATCCTGAACCGCCAAAGCCTACTTGCTTGTACAGTCCATATCATTTCTACAGTTACATCAGGGTTTGTACAACAACCTACAAGCAAAAGTTGCTTTATGGTAGTTTCAGGTATAGGCACGTGGAGCGTAAACCCTAAACGGCCCTAAACAAGTGTTCTTGCAGGTCCGCGTACGTCGGGACAGTCATATAAGTTCTCTCCAGAGCTTCGGGCTCAAGCCTTTAATGCTTAATACTTCGGTCAGACATTAGGATTTAGGTGAAGGCCTTTAAGGCTAAGGGTCCAAGTACCTAATAATCATATACTCTCCCAAATACTAACCTAGATAACTACTATCCGCAACCAAGGTACCTTATTGTTGGGTCCTTTGGACCCTTAGGGTATGGCTTTAAAGCTCTAGGCTTTACCCTGGGGCTCCAAATAGCCCAAAGTAGGTACTATTTACAGACTTTAGACCCCAAAGTAGGTACTGTTTGAAAACTTGGAGCCCTAGGGTTAAAGGCTCAAAGATTTGGGGTGTTGGGTTTCGGCTGTCGGGTTTGCAGAAAGGCTGAGGCACTGGAGCATCTGAGTCGTGCTCTGCTTGGTGATGGTTTAGGGTTTAGGGATTTAGGGGTTTAGGGTTTAGGGGTTTAGGGTTTAGGGTCTTGGGTAGTTTTCTACATTAGGGTCCCTTTTCGGATCCTGTTTAGAAGGGTGCCGTACTATATTTTGGGACCTAAAAAAGCGGCCCTAGTTTAGAGAGAACTCCAATCTTGTCAGCTCTGCTGCTAGAGCGTTTAGCTTGCTAAGCTCTCTAGCTCGTCTTCCGATCCCGAAGACTGCAAGCCTACAGCAAGCATAAGAATACCGATGGTGAGGTCCAATGTCTATGCCAAATACCTAGTTTGGGCTGTTTGGAGAGTTAGTGGAAGAAAAAAACTTCTGAAAATTTGCGTATCCACATTTGCCAAGAATCGTCTTTCCTGCGTGCACCCTCGCTCCCTCTTTCGCTCTCTCTCGCCCTCCTTCCGTAAGCTTTCAGCTGCTGTTGATTGGCCTTTGCGATGCTTATGCTCGCCTACGTCCAAAGTGGCGAATTCTGGAAAACAGCTTCTTTATTAAGGAGCCTTGCTCCTGGAATTTGCGACCTCTTAAAACACTGTAGTTTTGGGGTTTAGGGTTTGTTGAGGTTTGTTCAATTTGTTCAGGTGAAGGGTATCGGGTCCATGTTTGCCAGTAAGTGTCAGAGGTTTGCTGTTTTCCTGCGGATAAGAATGCTAAACCTGGTAACAGCCGCAGACGACCTCAACCCCTCAATACCTGCCCGAAGCTCTATGTCGTAAACAAAGATCAAACAACGCCCCACACGCACAATGCCAAATGCTGAACCCAGAATCTAGACCTCAAGCGCCCTGACCCCCTTGACCCTAAGGGTCCAAGTACCTGATAATCATATACTCTCCCAAATATTAACCTAGATATCTACTATCCGCAACTAAAGTACCTTGTTATTGGGTCCTGAGGACCCTTAGGGTGAGGTTTGCTGGTAGAAGCTTTGTCTCAAAACCTAAACCACGTGAGGCTTCCGGCTTGATTACTCGTAATACTCTTGATGATCTAAATCCTGCATTACCTTAAGGACCCTAAACTATGGGAGTTATGGTGTATTCCTTACTATGGGTAGTGCAGGATTTATATCATCAACCGTAGTCATGATACAAAGCTTACCCAACACCCCTTGAAGGATCTAGTCCCTCCGAAGGCATCCCGTCGTTGTGTAGGTTAAGATGGGTAGTTCTCTATGTTATAGGGTCCCTTTCAGGGTCCCTTTTTATCAGGGTGCGGTAATATAATATTGGGGATGCAAAAAGGGACCCTAATTTAGAGAAATACTTGTTTGAGAGCCTCCCTCCCGGGGGAGTCTGGGAACCCGTCGAGTCCCAAATACTTACCCTAAGGCTCTAAGGACTCATAATTTAAGGCTTTTGGGTCCAAAGACCATACTATTAGGGCTTTTGGGCTATTTTGAGCCTTAGGGTTAAGTTACAAAAGCCCTAAACCCAAAGCCCCAAAACCCTCAGCCTAGCCCTAAACCCCTGAGCCCTAAACCCGAAACCCTGAAGCCCTAAAATCCTAGCGACACATAAAGCCCCAATCCTGCAGGAGGGTCTGGACCCAATGGTGGCCGAAAAGCTGAAGATGCGTGGGGCCTAGGACATCGAGTGCAGCGGTTAGTTTCTAGGTTTCAGGTTTGAGGTTTAGAGTTTAGGGTATCCCATGTAGCATATACTTTGGGCGTCTTTTGGCCTAAGGTACCTATCTTACGGTTATTGTCATGCAGGAAAGGTATATAAACTGGGTTCTGGAGTACCATACTTGAACACTTTTTTGTTGGACCTGTTCCTTAAAGGAACCACTATAAAATAAAAGTCTATACTTTTTTCACCCTGGTTACTTCAAAGTCCAGTAAATGCCAGCTCTAGAAGGACCTCGACCTTGCATTCTTCAAGGCCCCTACGGCAAATCCCGAAGTCCCAGCCCGAAAACCTTTCGACCCTCACACCCTTCCCGCAGTCCGGAACCCTGACACTTGTTTTAGGAGTTTAGGGTATTTATGGTTTAGTGTTTAGGGTATTTAGGTTGCTGGATAAGCTCGAAATTAACAGCACTCTTCAGGGTCCTCTGATGAGCTTTCCAGTACAAAGGAAACGCCAACATATCCCCACTCCTGCGTGATCCCTCAAGCAAGCCTTAAACCCTAAACCCTTAAGCACAGAATCCTAAGCCTCAAAGCCCCAGCGACATCATCTACAGAAGCGTGAAACAGTTACCAATTCAATGTATTCCGCACGGCTCAATGCTACAATTAAACTACACTACACCCCAGCATCCCTAAACCCTAAACCCGAAGCCCTAAACCCTAAACCCGGTATGCCCGTCTTTGGGTAGGCGCGCTTTGGAGAAAGGGGCGTCATTGCACTTAAAAAAAACCTAAACCCCCTAAAGCGCAAAACCCTAAACCCTAAAACCCTAAACCCTAAAGCCCTATTTAGCCCATGGCCGAGGGAAAAGATCCTCCAGATCAAACATCGTGTGTTGAAGGCAGGAAGCCTCCAGGAGGTTCTTTCACCATTGAGGGTTTTGGTATGGCAGGCAGAATAATTAGACATAGAGTTGTGGGACATATTTTGGGGTATGTTTTTTACGATGAAGGTGACAGGAATCGTATTAGGAAGCAGTGAGTCTTCCATCTTATGGCTCAGTGTCTAGAATTTACAACTTTAGGGAGGGCTTTTGGGTTTGGGTCCACGGTTTAGGGGCTATGTTTGGGCGTTCGGGGTTTACGCCCTGTAGCACGACTGCTGTCTTACTCTTGATGCCGTCATGATTCGGTCATTCTTGCTTGAATCCTGCTTGATAGTAGTGTTGTTTTCGCTCGTGACGACTACTGCAGATGCTACAGCTGCTCCGTCTGATGCTGCTGTGCCTGATTAATTTGCTGGTCCTCGTGCTGCTCGTTCTCCTACTGCTACCAAGTTCGGCTGCTGCTCTGCAACTCTCATCGTTTCTGCTGACACCACTGCCATTGCTGCAACCTTCAGTTGCCCGCCTCCTTGCCTTCATCATTTGGATTGCTGGCAGAGCTTTTGCTCGTGTTTGATGCTAGGTGTTATCCCGACGGTGCTATACGGTGCTGTTCGAATTTTGTTGGTTCTGAATGTTGTTGCTGCATTTCGCTGTGTTTGTTTCCATTGCACAAGTGTTTGAACTTGGCCCCGGAGGCTCTCGAAACAGCAGTACGTATGCCTTTCGGTGGCCTAATCCGATCCTGTGAAATATCATAAACCCTAAACCTTAAATCCCCGACGTAGCTTGTGCGTTTAGTGAGCTTTGTTTGATGCTCTTCCCTGAAACCCCCAACCATAAACCTTAAACGATGAAGCCCTAACCCGAAACCCTAAACCCGAAGCCTCAAGCCCTAAACCTTAAACCCTAAACCCAAAACCCTCCAGATAGGAAGGGCCGGTGAGGCCATCCGTTCTGGGGTGCTTGGTGCCATGGGGTCGAGGAGGATGCTGCTCCTGCAGATTCGGGGAGCCTAAAACCCTAAGCCCTAAACCCTAAACCCTAAGCCCTAAACCCTAAGCCCTAAACCCGAAGCCATAAGCCCTAAGCCCTAAACCCTCAACCCTAAAACCCTAAGCCCTAAACCGGGCAAGATCAGCAGTCCGGAGAGGAAGCAAGAAGTCAGGAACAGGCCGGGGTAATATAGGGGCCTAAATATACTTACCAATATTCTTGTTGGGGGGTGCCTTATTATAAATATAGCATCATGGGCCCCAAAACCCTGTTCTAATCAATAAGGCCCCTATATATATATATATGTATATATATATATAGATATATTATAGAGTTTACGGTATGCCAAGCCCTAAACACCAAGTCTCAAGCCTGAAACCCTCAGAACCCTTGGAAGACCCAAAGCCAGCCCTAAACCCCACAAGCCCTACTTGCAACTACCAAAGCCTACCTTTTTTGTAGGGCCCCTCTCAAGTCTATATTAATATTAGCAATCATAATAATAGGCACCTACAAAAACTAGGCTATGATAGTTGACCCTAAGGGTCCAAGTAGTCCTTATATATGGCTTTTGGTACCCATAAAGGCCCCAAAGTCCTTAAATACTGATTACTTGGACCCTTAGGGTGAATTTAGGGCAGCCACCCGGAATTGCAAGGCGAACCGCGGCGCTTTCGTCAAGGCAGTCAGTTTGAGGGTTTAGCTTGTGGT